TTAAATTGGGAAATAAGTGTTCCAAAGAGAGATCTTCGTACCTTGAGTTGTTGTTCCGAACAGTTTTTGCATTCCCAAATGCTTCTAAAACAGGATTTGACTGCAAGATGAATGAACGTAACAAATGTATGATGGAATTACATTTCGAAAACTCAAATATCAGACACCCAACATTTGCATCACATAATCATGAAGGCTAATATTCAAATGTTCTCACCTCCAGAACTTGCTGCTCAACCGACCTCCCCTCGGCAGCAGCTCTCCCTCCCATATACGCAAGATAACGCATAAGCAACTTTGTACTTTCCGTCTTTCCAGCCCCACTTTCACCACTGACCAAAATGGATTGACTTTTTTTCTCATTGACCATAAGTCTGCATCCAAAAAAAAGGCGTTTCGGTTAATCAAATAGTGTGGTTTTCAATGACAAAATTACGGAAGTATAGCAGGAAAATACCTGTAGGCAGCATCTGCAATTGCAAATGGGTGTGGACTCAGCTCACCGAATCCGGCCCCTTTATATTGTGCCATCATATAGCTATCATACAGATGGGGTAACCTCGTAAAAGGGTTTACAGCAATCAATATGTTCCCTGTATAAGTCTGGAAGCACAATTTTTCAGCATAGTAACCTCATATATCGGAAGATTTGCACGTTCCAACCCGATAAAAATATCTCCCTAACATAATGGAATGCAAATCGATCGACAGGGCACTTCAATATCAATTCTTAAAACAATATTCCCTGAATGTGTATTCAAGAATGAATTATTTTCTTCATATACTTACATATATTTCATTAATATCATATCTCAATTTTAAATTGTGTAGCACCCCGGGTTCGTGCAAGTAAGCCAACTTGGTCATGTCATCCACACCACAAGGTGGCACTTCGGAATCTTTCGGGTAGACATTAGCTGCTTTAACTGCAACCTACGAACGGAGAAGAGAGGAAGAGGACAGAAGAGGAACAGATTAACAAAAGTTTATTCTTAAACTGAGCATCTCAGTTACTACGACTACAATAAAAGCACATGCAAGCAAGCTACTAGTCCTTGCTAATTTTTCATTAATCCTTTTTGTAAAAACTCACCGTTTTCCCTGAGGTGCATAGGACCTTAATTTCTTCGCCACGAACTTCTAACACTTCACCCTCTATCCAAGCTTCTTCAGAATCCTCCAACCAAACAAGCGATCCAACTCCAACAAGACCGGTAGTAGAAGCCTGCAAGTATCCCGAGTTAACAAATACACACACAAGCAAAGTGTACATTATGCCATTATCGACGATCTACAGCACGAGAAGGGTAAATGGTCCATGTTTGAAGCATGTTTTTGTTATCTAAACAGGGTTGAAAAAGTGACAGATGCACATGAACTATCCAGTGACAAGAACAGCTGAATGAATGTCTATTTTACTTGTCTCCCACTCATCTGAGTAGTTCAGAACTACAATGAATCAACATAACATGGTGCGAAAAGAAACGGGTTCGTAAGAAGAATCTCAATGTGATTCATTATTGGAACTGAACTCTCAGTTGAGTAGCTACTCGATGTTCATGAAGTCCAATAAGTTGAGCTCTAGTTGACTGTTTGTCAAGAAAACTAAAACCATTGATTAACAAAACTTAAACAAGTGATTATTGCATTGATTCAAACAAAACCAACTTCTAATTCTAAATTAAACTCTTCGAGAAAGCCCTGATGCACAGAAAAAATCAATCCCCAGAAGCACAGATCAGTCATCGAGGTAGTAAAAGAAGAGAAACCCATGGAAATATGACAACAAACAATCAAAAGGAAGGAAAATCCCATGAAATTATAAGAACCCATTTAGAAAATGAATCCAAATGCGCAAAGAAAAAGTCAGAGAGGCAAAGAGAAACAAGTACCATTCTATAAAAGACTCTGATCTGATCAAAATCTTGAGGGATGCTTATGGATCCACCTCGAATGCGTTGAAAAAGAGCAACCCAATTGAGTAAATGAAGAAATTGACCAAGTTCTTGGCGAGTTTGAGCTGAGTTTCAATGGGGGAAGACAAAAATCCAAACAAACCCCTCAAAAAAATGGGGAAACAAAGAAGAAGAAGCAAAATAATGAATCAGAAGAAGAAGAAAAGGGTTTTAAACTTAAACCCCTTTGAACAAATCAGAAAATTTCTTGAAGAAGAGATTTTAAGTCTTCCTCTGCTGAAGAAGAAGAAGAACAAATTGAAACAGAAAAATAAAAGGTTTAGACTTCGGGTGTTTTCTTAATTTGCTTCCCTCCCACACCTTCCGGTATATTGTCCTTTTGTTTATTTTGTTAATACCAAAATAATAGAAAATAAATTTGGGTAATTAAGGAGTTAATTAAGGAACAAAAATTAAACGGGCTATTGACGGAGTGAAATGACGAGAATAGCCCTGGACTTTGGTGGAATTACAGAAAATGAGAGGGACAGGTCTGTCTGAAAATTAAAAACGTTGAAGCGGTAAACTTTAGTCTGATTTGAGTCCTAATCCAATCAAACCATTTTCAATTTTTTTTATCATTAAATAAATAATAAATATCTCTCCCTTTATTTATTTAACATATTTATATCTTTTTGAGTTATTTAACCTTTTTATTTATTTATTATGTTAGCATATTCATTTTTATTTTATTTTTAAAATGTTAATTAACATTTTAAACATTATGGTTCAATCTCCCCTCCCTAATTTTATTAAAGATTCATAGACTAAAATCGAGAGCCTCAAAATAATGTTGATTAAATATAATAAGTTCAAAAATATAAAGACTATATTTTAAGATATTTATATAATTTAATAAATTTTGAAATTTTCAATAAAAATAAATATAAATTTTGAGACAATTTATTTTTTTAATCAAAGGATTAATGAAAATTATTTGAAGGTAAGAAAATAAAAATAAGACTTTTTAACACGTGATTTGCCTTCCAAAAGGATGATATTAGTGCAATTGGCAATTTAATAATTTTATTACAAAGGTCAAATAATAATTATAATCCCTCAAATATTTAATAAGTCCTAATTTAGAAATTTATTGAATAAAAAACCTTTAAAGTGGGTAGATTTATTAGACAAAAAGAAAAAAATAATATGAAAAATAATAATTAAATCACATGTTACATCTTTTATATTTATGATCTGCAATTGAATTAAATCATCAGTTATGTGACCACCTCCTTGCAAATAAAAGAAACCGCAAGGGCTTGTTGAAAAATATGAAAAATCCGCCGATCATTGCTTTGTTGGTCTGTCTCTATAAAACTCGATACGAGTAACGCATATGAGAATTCAATGGATTCGTTTGATATATGCGTATATGAGCGGCCTTCCCACGTGTTCGTCATGCTCAAGCACATAATAAAGTTATTGGATACTAAATTCTTATAAATTAAAATGCAAGTATCTCTACCTCTACATTTTTTTATATTCGTTATTATCTGACTTATTACTACCAAATCAACGCGGGGCAGCTAGTTAACAGGATGCCTCTATTAAACGAACACGACTCTCCATAATAGTATGATATTGTCTATATTGAGTATAAGCTCTCATGGCTTTGCCTTGGGCTTTCCCCAAAAGGCTATTCCTCACTTATAAACCCATGATCATTCCCTAAATGAGCCGATGTGGGACTTTCATCATCCAACACAGCCTCCCCTTAATCGAGGCTCGACTCCTTTGGAGTCTTAGTCATTTTTTACTGCCTTCGTACCTTCGAGATTTGCCAATCTATTGGCACGGCTAAGTTTAGGGCATGGTTATGATACCATCTTAAACGAACACGACTCTCCACAATGTAATGATATTGTCCATATTGAGCATAATCTCTCATGACTTTGCTTTGAGCTTCTCCAAAAGGCCTCATACTAATAGAGTTAGTATCCCTCGCTTATAAACCCATGATCATTCCTAAATTAGCTAAAAGGACTTTCATCATCCAACCGCCTCTACTTTAAGAAAGAATGAAATCCTAGAAATGCGTTACTCTTAAGAAAATTGGAATAAAATTATTTCATAAATAAAAAGAATAGTGAGGAACGGCAAGGAAAGCGCGTGAGAGATGCCACGTGGGAAAGCGCGTCCTTGTCACTGCGCCTTGACTTTGAGAACATGCAGAAATAAAGAAAAGACGCGAGCAGATAAAAAGTAACGGTTTAGATGAAAGATCTTGAAGCACGGTGCAATTTCAACCGTCGATTGATAGCATAATTGGACGAACATGAAAAGCTTGTTTCCAGCATCACCGCCATAAAAGACGGGGATATTAATTATTAATTATTATTCTCAATGTTATTTAATTATAAAAATAAAAATAATAATTAATGGATAAAGAAAATAAAAAAATCATGGCTGCTGGGGTGAGATAACGTGAAGGCCTCCTATTTTATCAACGCCTTTAATTACCTCTTATTACTTTCTTTTTTGTACTAAAAAAATCATTATTTCATTTCCAAAATTCCCTTAATAATAACATTTATTTTATTATCACAAAAAAGAGGAGAATGATTTGACATCTTGGCTTTTTTACATTAAAAAAAATCCGAACTAAAATATTTGAATTTTGTAAGCTTAAATTACTTAATTAAGTTTATTATTTTTAATTTTTCTAGCCAAAAAAAAAAAAATAATAAATAAATAAAATTAAAAGCCTACATTAGTGAACCTTTTATTTTAAATAATTAATAAAAAATAAAGTAATAAAGTTTTCTGCCTGAGGAGGACTAATCGGAGACAGAAAATACATCATCCATTCCATCTATGCACGTATAGAAAATGAATTGAAGTCATCAAGCAACTTATCTAAATCGAACATGGCAAATCCGTTCCTCTCGGTCTGAATTGGACACGACAAATCTGTCCTCTTTGAATACGGATGAAAGACTGCACAGACTTTCGCTCTCGCCCGAAACAAATGAATTGACGAAGAGGAATGAAGCAAGGAGAAAAAATTATCTATATATATACACATCAAACTTTATACAAAAATAAGGATAAAGATAAATACATTGAAAATCCACCAAAGATAAATATTTTCTGATCTTACAGAAATTGTTCCTTCCTGTGGAATATAATACATTATAAGGTAAAAAATGATCAAACAATGAGCTAGAGAAAAATTACCACCAAAATTTGAAATCTGGTTCATAACCAGCAGTATTCAAGCATCAAGGAGAGGGAAAAGATGCTCAGGCCATTTGGGATAAACACGCTTGTATAAGCTCATGCAAACTGTGTCATGTTGCTGTAAAACTCCATTCAGAACACACTTCATTACACCTGTGTTCCACAAGATTACAGGCCGTGCTATGTAACAACAACAAGATAACACTAAAGGATTGTGAGGAGTATATTAGCAGACAGCAGTGGCATGTCAAGGGTATTTCGATAGATGTTCGGGTATGGGGGAGCTTACCGTGTGTGCCGACAGGTTCCTTGATGCGACCACGTCTGCCACACTTCGTCCACACATCCACAGGCTGCATCAACAATTTCAACATTAGGAGGATAAACCATTCTGTAAGATATATTTTGTACTTCGCCTTCAATGGCAAGTGGTAACCTTTTATGCACAAAAGAAGTTTTTATTTAAAAATAACAACCGTTCAATCAAATGAGAACAGCAACTCAATCAAGATCTCTATACAATTTTTTTGATCCATTAGGCAAAAGTGCTTTGAGCTTTCCTCTGAGCAAAAATTTATACCAGTCAATTAGGATCCTCTTTTCCTTCGTTTGTCACTACTGGAAAAAGCATTCATTGTAATGCAAATATTTTTGGAAAAGCACTTCCTTTTCTGAAAAGAAATTCCAAGCCCCCCCCCCCCCCCCCCCCCCCCCCCCCCCCCCCCCCCCCCCCCCCCCCCCCCCCCCCCCCCCCCCCCCCCCCCCCCCCCCCCCCCCCCCCCCCCCCCCCCCCCCCCCCCCCCCCCCCCCCCCCCCCCCCNTATTTTCTAGATCTTAGCACAGACTCCAACCCCAGGAAAAAAAAAAAAAGAATTATTGCTTCTAGCCCCAAATCAATGCCCGAGGAAGATAGTTTCATCCTCCATACTACTTCAGATCCCTCATCAAAACCAACTACAGATTTCCTCCTAACTTAACACGCAGACAAAACAGTTACATCCTGCCAGATGAGTTTTAGTCACATGCCGTCAACCACAGAGTATTAAGAACGAGAGAGGACAGCAAAACATAGAGCATTCTCTGATACTAGAAGTGTTCAATTTCTACCAGTTCCAACAAAAAAGGTAACAGAGATTACCATCTCATATGCATTTCTCTTACCTTGAACCATCTCACGTCATCGGGATTATGAAACATGTATCTCACAGTAGCTTTCAATTTTGATACTCGTTGAGGATAACTGCAAATAGAAGAGGGAACGATAAAAACAAATTCTTCAAATGAGGAGATAAAATAATCATTACTTATTTGATAAGGTCATAGGTGACATTACCCAGATAAAATAATTTTTTTCAAAATTATCCGTCTGGGGTCGATGCTCTTTAACGAACCAGAAGCAGCAAATGAAGAGATTCCTTCAACATTCCTAAGAACTATCAAAGGAAGGGGAGCAAATGAAACAGAAGCATAAATAGAAGCAATAGAAAATCTTCCAGCATGAAGAAATCTCTCCATCTTGTGCTTGTCCAAATTGAAGTTATCGGTTGAAAATATTGGCCTGAAAGTTACGAAATGGTTATCTGAAAATAAAAAACCGAAAGATTAGATGACTTCAATGGCATAGTTGGAAAAGTACCTCGTAACAAACTGGCGAAACCCAACATGAAACACCAATTTTTCCTTTCCCATGAGGGGAGGAGAATTCTTGTCATGCTTCTTGGTGTTCTCAGTAGTCCCAACTTTATCGGATATCTGTTCAGAGACATCGTGCTTCTTGATGCTGCAACAACAAGATTAGTTGGAACTCGGAACCTAGAAATCGTTTGTAGTAAAATAGATGATAATGAGCAATTAGGAATTACCTGAAATGGAGGACAGACATCTTGGATTCATGTGGCAGAAGTCCACACGCAGTAATTGGCATTGACTTCGTTAACTCGCACAATTTGGAAGCAGCACAAACAGGCACTTCCTTCACGTGCAGCCTTAAATAGGAGCATGATGCCACACAATCATCTCTGTTCCCATTCTCTCTTTCTAAAGCTTTAGCTAGAACATGCTTTTGTGTTCTGGATATGTTACTGAATTCAAAAATTCTAGCATAGTCTTGAGGCAAACTTTCCTGAATTAAGAGATAGAAGTTTCAGTGAATGCTCCTAATGTTATGAAACAGTATGGGAAATCATAATCGAATAACAGGAACTATACTTGGGGGTCCCATGAAGATGTCCTAAAGGATTTAAGACCTCTATACTTTGCAAAGCGCTTTCTGGCAGGGATATCCATAGGTGTATCCACTTCATCTGGAAATTCTGCAACGAAAATATAAGAAAGATCACTAAACATCCGTGTATAACATGACACCAAGCCTCCACCACAAACTTTCAAGCTCAGATGTATAACATGTACGAAATTGACATCAATACACCCATTAATCTTGCATTAAAATGGAGATACCATGCCCAAACTGCCATGTGAATTTTCACGTGATTAATTAGAGATTGATGGTTAAGAAGTTACGAACAATAGAACTACAAATAAGTATAGCACATATAACTCATCAAAAGCCAAAAGAAACAAATGACTAACCTTCATCTTCAGCGTGAGCATTTTTTATCTTTCGAAACTCATCCAATCTTTGTTCGTTGGTCAAGTTATCACCATCCTGCATTGCGGGGAAATCAAGTGAATAGCAGCATCAACAAAAAACAGTATATAGACCTAGAAGTGAAAAGTAACCTTCTTGTTCTCAATACATGAGAAATTCCAAGATATTATAGTTACAAAAGAGAATGCCCTTTTCAGCGCTTTCATGATTGTGTCATTTCTCTGTTGTAACTTGTAATGCACAAGATATGGTTTACCATTTTGTTTATTACGGCGAGTTCACTCATATATATGCTTCTGTCTCAATTTGACAGTACTTGAATAATACTAGAAGATATCCCGAGATGTTACGGAAGTGTACGTAAAGAATGAAACACTCATTAGAACTGTGCAAACTTCAACTATTTCTAGGTTATTTGGCTGGAAAGAAACCAATGCATCACAGATAAGCATGCAGATTGAAGATAGTTTTGAATACAATTAAATTGTATCCTTTAATTTCTACTGGTTCAAGCATGCTAAGTCTCTAGGTTTAGAAATTATATTCAACATGATGAGTCCTAACCGGGGAGACTATTTGAAACTTTCCACAGTTCTTTTAAAATTTAACATCCCCTTATATTCTATTTTTCCGCATACTATAAAGAGGTCATAATAATCATGAGGTTGTCACTTTTCAGCATTATTTTTCAACAAAAGAAAACATTAATCATACGGTTGTCCATTGTGACTTGCACCCCAAGGCTACTTCTCTAGCTTACAATGACCAGTCTGGTAAAATGAGGAATGGTATCATAAGTCAAAAAAAATAATGAGATTCTCACCATCATCACAGAATCTATATCCGTCTCCTGATCAGAATTTATTAACTCAAAAGATGCTTGATCATCATCACTGAGGCTTGGATTATTAAGGTCATCCATTCCATTTGTATAACCACTGTCTAATATCATACCATCAGATTCATTGTCAACATCAGAATCCGCATCATCTGCGTCACCTATTTCCCAGGCTTCCTGTGTGTTTTGACAAAAGCAAAGGAAAAACATATGTGATGCTGACAAGAACTTTACGAACATGTAAATCGTGGGGGAGAGAATTAGCGGATTAATATGCAAACCTGATAGTCAGAAGTGCCATGAGCAAGTGCTCTTTTCCTCAGATGCTTTTCTTTCTGACCTCTATCTGCCTCAGTCGGCCAAGTCTGAGAGAAAAACAAATTATCAGTAATCAAATATCAACAATAAATATAACTAACGAAGTGACATGACATCTTGTCCTAGAAATAGCATTTGTACATCAAGATTGAAGAGCGTAGAAACACCTATTAGATCTTATAGATTAGTTTGAAGGCGTATCACAAAAATAATACAATCCATAAACAAGGAAAAATAACAAGAACACAAAGTAAAAGAAAATAATCAAGCCACTCATCAAACATTCCATATCTTTAAGTTAGCTCTTTTTAAGTTTTACATGCATTTTTTAATATCATGCATTAACTCCCACCAGCCGCCATGTTGGCCATATCCTTCCCAAGAAAGAAGAAATGGCAAGGGAAATTGAGAATGGTAAACTAAGAATGAAAAAAGATCTATGTCTTGAGTTGTTTTTATAGAAAAGTTTATTTCTTGTTAAGAAAAACACCTGTTCACCAGACAGAGGATCAAGCTCATTCTCAACAACCAATGGCTCTAGCTCTGATGGCTCCAACAAGCGAACAACCTACATGTCAAGAAAGGTGTAAATTATAATGCATGGGAATGTGAACAAAAAGTATGGAGAAAGTGTCATATGCAAACATAAAATATCATAAAAAAGCTGCACATGAGATAGAACGTCAAGGAAAATATGCATAGTATAACTCATCAGCGAAGGAAATTTCAACCCCGAATAATAATTTTTCTCAAACTAAACAGTTAGTGAAGAAACTAGCAAGAATAATTTTTCAGGACAAACATCTATCATTACTGAAAAAAATTATCAGAACCATTTACGAAAGAAGAATGAGTCATCAATTTGATTTGAACTTCAGTCTGCAGAAGGAAAAAAAAAACACTATTTTCCATCTAAATTTTCATGAACCATTCACTCAAATCCTATATCTACCAATAACAAGAATTCCTCAACAATTTAGTAGCTATGAGCAGAACGGTTCTAAAGCTCAAACTTCTTTTATTTCAAATTATATGAGAGGGCATGTAATAGTATTCTTGGATAAGAAAACTCAGAATGAGTGACCATAGTAGAACAAACAGCCAAGAAAAAAAACGGTCACTTCGCTCGTGCAAAGATTACATTTGTTACCTCCTCGTCCTGAGTATCCATGGAATCTTGTTCAATTCTTGGATTCAATGGGACTGGATCCTTGAGAACTTCGATTTTGCAAAGCTAGAAATCTCCTGCTCCAGCGACATGAACCTGATGAAAGGAAAAGGCATGTATGAACGACATACCAACCTACGTGAAGCAAGAAAAATGGAAAAACAGAAGAATGTAACAGTTGATTCACAGAGAGACTTTGAGCTCGTAGATAACCAGTGAGAAGAAGGGTACATTTTCCTGGAGTACAATTATCAGCTACCATATCAACCTGTGGGAGAACCAGAGAATTAGAAAAACAATAACTAACAAAAGATGTTACTCTTAGAGTGAAAGGAAAATATTGGTCAAAATTTGCAAAATGTATTAAAATACACATATTTTAGAACCTTTTGAGACATCAAATAAGGCCTTTGATTTATCCAATGAGGAACAGTGAGCCTTTGCTCCTTAAAAAGCCACATAAACTGCAATATAAAACATGGAAAATGAAAATAAGCATAGAAAGTTGTGTAAATGAACCTAAGCAAAAAACCTACACTTGTTTACCTTGTGCAACTCATTTTTCGTATCGGCAGGATAAAACTTACAATCCTCGGGAAATTCAGATGTAATGCTAGAAATACACATTTTTTTATAGTCGTTTCTTTTCTTTATATCAGTGGGGTAGGTCCTGCCAGAAAAGGAAAAGAGCTTTACCTATACATGCAGATAATTCTTCTCCTTTAGGATTATAAGTCTCAAAAATGAAATAACATGATAACATACTCGAATAAGCACTGCCGTACTCACGTAAGCCCAGAGATCTTAATACAGAAAGGCATTCGCTTCCAAATGAATCAATGTAGAGAGTTGTGCTTCTTTCAATATAGTAGCTCGCAGAGACCACAAAAGCAATTAGGTCAGCTACCTACAAATTAAGAGGTACATGATCAAAACTTAAAACTTGATGAGCGAAGAAAAAAAAAAAAAACAATTGCATGAGAAGTTAAAACCTTGGCCATCTCTATACATGAATGCAAGTCACTATAGGGTGCTTTCAGTACCTGGAGAATAAAAATTTAGCACAATGAAAGCAAACATAAGGATTGGTACACAAAAAATTGCCGAGGGTTCAGGACAACTCAATAAAATAGAGAAGTTTGAATAAGAAACATAAATAAAATAGAGTAATTTGGCCACGGCTTCAAAAATTAAAGAAAAAACATGAAGAAGAATCGCATAGATCTTACTGTTGCCCGAAGCTTGTATTCTGAAGAAGCAACTGTGGATGACGAAGCTCCAGGAGTTAATAGAGACGAGAGATCCTCAGCCAGTGGATTCAGGTCTACTGATGCAGAGAGTCCTAAAAGAACCTGTGGGCAGCGTAATCAGTAAACATTAACACATATTACAAGAAAATTGATCGGAGCAGGGAATGAGTAAATAAGAAATAAAGGCAGATATGAAATTCCATGGATATTCTAATAACTCACTATGACTCTGGGAGGACTCTTTGATCCACTTAATGCTCTTTTCTCCTGTAAAACAGCCGCCCTTTTCTGCTCTCGAATCTGCAACAACAAATTCAGTAATGAAAATAAAAAACCACCAATGACAATGAGGCATGTCAAATATGCCCAAGGAAAAGGAAGACTGGGTAGAAGAAGATTGGACGACAAGTACCATCTTGCTACGCTGAAGACGAGCAGCCCGAGCTCCCTTAGCAACATTATTCTTTGTTACTTTGCCTCTATCTAGTGACCCAAAACTCAAATTAGAACCCAATAGCTACACAACCCTAAGTATTAGTTATAGAGAAAATTAAACCTTGAGGTTCTACATGAACCAAAAATTATCTTAAAACGAAAAATACAAAAACTAGGCTTTCATGAACTAAAAGAAAAGAAGATCCACACCTGTTAAAGAGGTTTTGTGCTGTTGTCGCGTTGCCTTGGATGAGAAGCGTGATTTATGGGGCTTATTGACTTGAGCCCTATTACCTCCCATGGAAACTGTAAGAATTGCAAGGAGAATATTTAGGTCCTCTCTAATCCCTCTGCCTTTTAAGATATGATTATTTAAACCATAAAATTTCTAAAACTTTCAAGATCGAATACATGAATCACAAAGCATATATATGACTATTAGTTTCAATAAATTCAAAGTGCAATTAGTGACAGATTACTTCGACTGATTCTCTAATAAACTAAAGAGATATACCGATGATCAAACTCTCAATTGACAGACATATGCAACAAATCAAAACGCAGCTCGAATAGTACCAATTAGCACAATGCTGTTTTATTTATTTATTTTATTATTATTTTTTTTTTATGGTTTCTATTCTGTGATTGATATTCTAAAAAAACAAAAACAAAAATTCATCCATTCATTCATTCATTAGACAAGTCCTGATTTATGTTTCTCAAGTGCCGAGAAAGACATAGATAACGATTGGAAGAATACCAGTAAGAACAAGAAAGTCGAAAACCTGTACAAAGCCGCTCAGAGAGAGGCTGCAGCGGCACAAGCGGAAGAAAGACAACGGCGGCGGTGGCGCCACTGAACCGGAGAAAGGTGGCGACACTAACTGCTGGAGAGGAGCACACAACGTGAAAAAATAGACTAGGAGAGGGTTCAGGGTTTATGGTTCTCCTTTCTTTTATTTATTTTTATTTTATTTTCATAAGTGGGTGACTATGAACATTCTAATACATTTTAAAATATTTCGATCTGTAAAACGTTCCCATTCCGAAAAATATAATATAACCTATTTTTAATTTTATTGCACATCATACGGATAAAATTTGGAAAAAGAAAAAAAAAAAATATGTGGGCCTGGCCCAATCACATGTGTTGCCACGTTGGTCTCCGTAACTTGACACGTGGCTATTTATCTAATTCCAACGAAGGGCCCACGTCGGATATATTAGATTTTATTTAAAAAAAACCTTATCTGCTGAATTTGCTGACTTTTTAATTAACTGTATTTTTTTTTTTGATAATTCGATTCAATTTGTTTTTTTATTTTTTTTTTCTTGTTATCTTTGAGTCCACAAATTTAGATTTTTTTGTTAGAATAGTAAATTGGATAAATATTAAATTATGAAATTTAGAGTTTAACCATATTTTCGAAATTTGAGCAATTTTTATGAATGAGGCAGAAAATATTTATAACTAGTCGGAAAATATTTTTTTTATAATAAAAATACTCGTAGAGATATTTTGGTATAAATATTTTATTTTTATTTATTTATTTATTTATTTTCTTCGGAAATGAAAAATAATTGATGAAAATAAAATTGATAAGGTTGATGAGTTTCAGGTTTAAATAAAATATATGTATATATATATTCCATATCTTATTTATTTATTTACTTATACGCGAGATTGGTAAACATGAAAGAAAAAAAATTAAAAAAATTAAAAATTAAAAAAAAAAGAAAAGAAAAAAAAAGAGGGAAAGAGAGGCGGTATTTAAGTTGGTTGGGTCTTTAACTTTTTTTTTTTCTCTCTAGCCTCTCATTCTTCTTCCTCGATCTCTTTCACTGTGTTCAGTTCTTCTATCCATGGCGACTCAAGGTCAAGTTATCACTTGCAAAGGTACTCCCCATACACATTTCATTCTTCCTCTATATGCTTTGCTTCACTTTTTCCTGCCATCGATCCATTTGATTCAGCTAGCGTTTTTTTTTTTTTCTTTTTCTGTCAGCGGCGGTGGCCTGGGAACCCAACAAGCCATTGGTGATCGAGGATGTTCAGGTGGCTCCGCCACAAGCCGGCGAGGTCCGAGTCAAGATCCTCTACACTGCTCTTTGTCACACTGATGCTTATACCTGGAGCGGCAAGGTTGTTTATCTTTTGATTTTCCGAATCTTAATTGATTGAATTGTCGGTCATTGCATGGCGCTTCTTTTTTCTTAATTTCTGTACTATTTTTTAGTGATTCATTTCGGGGGTGTGTTTTCGCTATTTGAAGAGTTCGTGATTTTTTAGTCCCTTTCTATTGGGTGGTGGAATGAAATTGAATTCGGAGTTCTTGTGCATTGATGATTGTAATGCTGTCTTCAGATTAGGAAATACTAATTTCTGCGTGTAGTATTTTATTCGAGTTTGCAAGATTGTCCAATCGCACAAGGTTGGTTTACTTCTCCAAAGACAGAATTTGTATGGTTAGGATCTATTATGTTCTTACTAATTTTTCTTTGCTCTATATCGATAAATTCAACGTGTTAACACCAGTGCTGGAATCTTCACGAGGATCCTGGATGAGACGGGATCTGGTGCGCTACCCGTATGCTCTGTGGCATTTAGATAACTGAAAATCTAATTTCCAATATCCTAGCTCTAATGGTTACTGAAAAAAAGCAACCTCCCTTCTAATCAATAGGTTTAGATAACTACCATTTTTCTTTCTCTAAGGACACTTCGACTGCATTGTACCAACTAAGTTAGCCTTAAACTTGAAAGGGTGATCACACTACAGATACAGCTAAAAGTCCTTTTCGAGATTGTGGAATTACCCAACCAAACTGAAGAAAGAAAACACGTTTTGTTCCCATGTTTGCTATGCTTTGAATATGTAGAAACACCTTTTTTGGAAATAGACCCGCTTTGGAATTTCTTCTTTCAATTTTGTAAAAAATGTTTAAATCTCTTAGAGAACTTCCAAACTTAATTTTTGTTAAGAACCCTTCTGGTTCCAAATTGTTCTGGGCAAAGGATTTCTCCACTTCTATATTAGTGATAAGGTTGAAATAAATAATTTAGCATATTAACTGATGTATAACATATTTTTATTTGATTTTTTTTAATCTCTTTTTATTCAATAAAAAAAAAAAAAAAAGGAGAGAATTCTTATTCTAGATTTCCAATGCCTAAACTCTCATGAAGAAAAAGGTTTTTGGAGAAAACGTCCCATTCGATAAGAGTACAACCCACCTTCATGTTACTGGCCTAAAGTTTCTTATTTGTTGCTCGCTCCTAAAATCCTAATAGTCTTGGCTGGATTTGGTTTTTTGCTTTGCTTTGCTTACAGTCTTAGGATAGATTAATACTGAAGACATTTATGTCGAGAGCCTCCTTTTTTGTTCTTGGTCTGAACTGGATCCTCCTTTGTGAAGGAAGTTCTTGTTTTCTGGTAGGCTGGATTCTTTATTATTTTGTGGTTTATTTGGTGGGAATAAAATAGGAAAACATTTTTGGGGTTTGGTAGATAGTGGGAAGATATATGGGCACATTTTAATGCATCTCTTTGGGATTTTAACTTAAATTGGTTTCGTAACTACCCTTTGTTATTTATTACCAAATGTTGGGGTTCTTTTGTGCAGGACTTTTTTGCACCTCCCACTTTTGGCTTGATATTTATTTTTGTGGTGGGCTGTTCGTTGTACTACCCTTCATTTTATTGAAAGCTGGTTTCTCTTAACAAAATCGAGGATTAACAATTGTCTCTCATTTTTCAGTCATCATGTATAATATTACAATATGTGGCAAGTTTTGAACCTCCTATTAGTTGTCCAATTGATTCTTTGGTTTAAGTGGCAGTTAAAGTTGTGTTTGACAAATCTACTTTTGGCACGTGCTATGACAAATTGAGGAGTTTCTAGTATAAAGGATCAATGAAGTCGATCACTTTGATTACCAAGATGTTTATTTATTATTATTATTATTTTTTTTTTTTATGTATTTTAGATAAATAACAAATTCATTGATGAATGAAATATGAAAGAGAGGGAAAAAAAACCAAGCCACAAACACTTCGATCTAAGACATCATTAGCTCAATACCTTTCCTGGCCATTTGGCACCTGCCTAAAGTTTAATTTTCTCTTATTATTATTATTATTATTATTATTATTATCACTTCCTGTGCACGGTTGAGACCCAACCTCCTGATATCTGACTTTTTTTGACTTTCATCTCTTTCTAGGACCCTGAAGGTCTCTTCCCCTGTATTCTTGGTCATGAGGCTGCAGGGTAGGCAACTTGATATCACATGCCAGATATTTTGGTTTTCATTATATATATAAATTTCATTACTTAAGCGGCAATATGAAACCCATGTGCAGGATAGTAGAAAGTGTTGGTGAAGGTGTGACGGAAGTTCAGCCTGGAGACCATGTAATTCCTTGCTACCAAGCAGAATGTCGAGAATGCAAGTTTTGCAAATCAGGGAAAACAAATCTTTGTGGCAAAGTCCGTGCTGCAACTGGAGTGGGAGTGATGATGTCAGATCGTCAGAGTCGTTTCTCCATAAATGGAAAACCTATATATCACTTCATGGGCACGTCAACATTTAGTCAATACACTGTTGTTCATGATGTCAGTGTTGCAAAGATTGATGCCACGGCTCCATTGGATAAAGTATGCCTTCTTGGATGCGGTGTTCCCACAGGTAGCGATATGTTAAACTTGCATCTATAATGTTTTATATATATATATAAACCACCATGGGTTGATAGTGGTCAATAAGGATCAGGCAAATAATAAAGGGTTTAGAGAGAGAGTGGATTCAAGTCATGGTAGCCAGGATTGAATATCCTGTGAATTACTTTGACTACCAAATATAATAATGTCTGGCGGTCTTCTCTTGAGAATAGTTAAGGTGCACGTAAGGTTTCTTAAACACTCTCAATATATACATGACGTTCATACATACATCCACACTTTCACGTTTACAACTAGCATGATTTTCCTGTTTTAACTATGAAAAATTAGAAAAAAGAAGATTTTAGATAAATAGGTGTATTTGTTTGTTAAAGTTTATTTGGATGTCAAGGTGATGTTTTCTATCCAAGGGGAAATTAAAAAAATTCAGCTGACTCTCAATTTTCTTTTTGTTTCTCTTATTTATTCCTTTCTTTTTGAATGAGGGGGAGCTGTTCACATAAAATAATATCTTCCAACATAACTTTTTTTTTTTGTTCCTTTCCATTTCACAATTCTTTATATGCCATATCGAATGGTATTTTCAGGCCTTGGAGCTGTTTGGAACACAGCAAAAGTAGAGCCAGGGTCCAATGTGGCTATTTTTGGCCTAGGGACTGTAGGCCTTGCGGTAAGCTTCATATCAGACCCTCCTGTCTTTTGACTGCCCTCTCTTTCCTCTAAATTGACCTTTTATAGACTTAATGTTTGCTTGTAGTTATAGGTTAAAGGCAGATGGGCCTCACGTGATAGCTATAAGAATATTGTTAACTAATATTTTGGAATATAAAAGATAACTAATGCACGTAGATATATAATACTCATATTACTTTACCACATGTTAAGAATAAACGCAAATGACTAAAATTGTAGAATATGCTTATCCTACGTGTGATACTGGTTATATGTTAAAAAACAGAATCTTTATTAAAAATCACAATTGATACTAGGGACAAATCTTTCGCTCGATCATCCTTAAGATGGATGCGATGGGAAGAAGTGGCATTTGGATGAGTTTTTTCCCCTATTAGCTTTTAAATATTGTTAACACAGTTATATTGGGGTTTTGCATCATTTTAATGTTATTTATTAACTTTTGTCTATATATCAAAGCTTATGCACTGTCTCTTTAAGCAAAGCCAGACAGCCTTTAGCCTTCTAAAAAATGTTTGCAGTGGTTTGATTGCTGCTAGCCATTTCTTCATGAACCCCAAAAATATCACCCAATCCTTTTCATAG